GGGGGGGTTGGAATGGGTTATACTGGGTTATACTGGGTTATACTGGGTTGTACTGGGATATACTGAGATATACTGGACCTTACTGGTTTATACTGGGAATGACCTCCACAAGCCCTAGGGTGGCTCTGGGTGGGGTGAGGTCATTCCCAGTGCCAAACTGGTTTATACTGGTGCCCTCCCAGTCCAGTGCCAGGCTCTGGTGGCACTGGGATGACCCCGACGCCAAACTGGACCTTACTGGTTTATACTGGGAATGACCCGTATGAGCCCCGGGGAGCTTTGGGATGGCTCTGGGTGGGGATATCTCCCTCCCAGTGCCAAACTGGTTTATACTGGTGCCCTCCCAGTCCACCAGGGTGGCTCTGGTGGCACTGGGATGACCCCGACGCCAAACTGGGCCTTACTGGTTTATACTAGGAATGACCCCTATGAGCCCCAGGGAGGGTTAAGGATTGGGGGGGTCCATCCCAGTGCCAAACTGGTTTATACTGGTGCCCTCCCAGTCCACGCCTGGGAGCACAGGAGGGCGCTGGTGGCCCAGGACGACCCCGAGGCCAAACTGGGCCTTACTGGTTTATACTGGGAATGACCCGTATGAGCCCCGGGGAGCTTTGGGATGGCTCTGGGTGGGGATATCTCCCTCCCAGTGCCAAACTGGTTTATACTGGTGCCCTCCCAGTCCACGCCTGGGAGCACAGGAGGGCGCTGGTGGCCCAGGACGACCCCGACGCCGAACTGGCCTTCGCCGGGTCCCTCCTGAGCCGCGACTTCTCCAACTTCTCGGCCTGGCACCACCGCCTGCGCCTGCTCAGGCCCGGCCCGGGGGGTTCTGGGGCGCCCTTGAGCCCCCAGAGGATGAGGGAGGGTGAGTTGGATTTTTCCTGGGAAAAGGGAATTCCCAAAAAATTTCCAGGTTTTTTTTTTTGGGAATTGGCTCCTCCGGGGGGGGTTTAATGGGTAGACCTGGTGTCCCTCTCCCCATTGACTTTAATGGGTAGACCTGTTGTCCCTCTTTCCATTGACCTTAATGGGTAGACCTGTTGCCTCTTTGATCCCTATTGACTTTAATGGGTAGACCTGATGTCCCTTTTATCCATTGACTGTAATGGGTAGACCTGTTGTCCCTTCGATCCCTCTTGACTTAAATGGGTAGACCTGTTGTTCCTCCTTCCATTTACTTTAATGGGTAGACCTGTTGTCCCTCCTTCCATTGACCTTAATGGGTAGACCTGTTGCCCCTTCGATCCCTATTGACTTAAATGGGTAGACCTGTTTTCCCTCCTTCCATTGACCTTAATGGGTAGACCTGTTGTCCCTTTTATCCCCATTGACTTTAATGGGTAGACCTGATGTCTGTTTTCTTCCCCTTGACTTTAACGGGTAGACCTGATGTCCCTTTAACCCCATTGACTTTAACGGGTAGACCTGATATCCCTTTAATCCCATTGACTTTAACGGGTAGACCTGTTGTCCCTTCCTCCATTGACTCCAATGGGTAGACCTGGTGCCTCAGTTGCCCCCATTTACTCCAATGGGTAGACCTGTTGTCCCTTTGATCCCCATTGACTTTAATGGGTAGACCTGTTGTCTCATTTGCCCCGATTTACTCCAATGGGTAGACCTGATGCCCTAGATCGTGGGGTTTCCCCCCCTGTGACCCCCCCAAAACCACTGTGAGCCCCCAAAACCTTGCAGGGACACACTGAGGGTTCACCAGAGGCCCCTCAAATGCCCCTGGAGTCCCCCCAAAACCCTTGGGTCCCCCCCCAACCCAGGTTCCCCATAGACTTAACCTGAACTCCCACACACTGGGGTTTCTTCCCAAAACACCTGGGTGCCCCCTTCAGATATTGGGGTGTCCCCCCAGCACCCCTGGGTGTCCCCCTGAGGTTTTTGGGGGATTTTTGTCCCTTTCCCAGAGCTGGAGCTGGTGCAGAACGCCGTCTTCACCGACCCCACTGACCAGAGCGCCTGGGTCTACCTGCGCTGCATCCTCTCCCGAGGTAATTTGGGGAGGGGTGTGTGTGTGTGGGGGGGTTCCCTTCACACCTGGGGACCCCTCCCATGAGTGTTGGGGTGTTCCCCCCCAAAAAAAAGCCACCTCCCCGCCGAGGATCATCTGCGTGTACGTCGACCGCGAGGACGCCGCGCTGGCCGTCGTCTTCTCCCGCCCCGTCCTGGTGAGTCGGAGACGCTTGGATTCCGTCCCGCCCCCCCCCCCAGAAAACTTCTGGTGCCCCTTTATACACCTGTTTCCCCTCCTAAAATAATCACCCCTGGTTACCCCCCCCAAACCAGAGCACTGGACCCCATTGACTCCAATGGGTAGACCTGATATCCCTTTCTCCCCATTGACTTTAATGGGTAGACCTGTTGTCTCTCCTTCCATTGACTTTAATGGGTAGACCTGTTGTCCCTTTAACCCCATTGACTTTAATGGGTAGACCTGTTGCCCCTTTGATCCCCGTTGACCTTAATGGGTAGACCTGTTGCCCCTTGATCCCCATTGACCTTAATGGGTAGACCTGTTGCCCCTTTGATCCCCATTGACCTTAATGGGTAGACCTGTTGTCCTTTTGATCCCCATTGACCTTAATGGGTAGACCTGTTGTCCTTTTTCCTCTCATTGACTTTAATGGGTAGACCTGTTGTCCCTTTCTCCCCATTGACTTTAACGGGTAGACCTGTTGTCCCTTTAACCCTATTGACTTTAACGGGTAGCCCTGTTGTCACTCCCTCCACTGACTCCAATGGGTAGACCTGTTGTCCCTTTCTCCCCATTGACTTTAAAAGGTAGACTTGATGTCCTTTTAACCCCATTGACTTTAACGGGTAGACCTGATGTCTCTGTTGCCCCATTGACTTTAATGGGTAGACCTGTTGTCCCTTTCTCCGATTGACTTTAATGGGTAGACCTGTTGTCCTTTTGATCCCCATTGACCTTAATGGGTAGACCTGTTGTCCTTTTTCCTCTCATTGACTTTAATGGGTAGACCTGTTGTCCCTTTCTCCCATTGACTTTAACGGGTAGACCTGTTGTCCCTTCCTCCATTGACTCCAATGGGTAGACCTGATGTCCCTTTCTCCTATTGACTTTAACTGGTAGACCTGTTGTCCCTTTCTCCCCATTGACTCCAATGGGTAGACCTGTTGCCCTTTTGATCCCTATTGACCTTAATGGGTAGACCTGTTGTCCCTCCCTCCATTGACTCCAATGGGTAGACCTGTTGTCCCTTTCTCCCCACTGACTTTAACGGGTAGACCTGTTGCCCCTTTCTCCCCATTGACTTTAATGGGTAGACCTGATGTCCCTTTAACCCCATTGACTTTAACGGGTAGACCTGTTGGCCCTTTAACCCCATTGACTTTAATGGGTAGACCTGATGTCCCTTTCTCCCCATTGACTTTAATGGGTAGACGTGATATCCCAGATATTTTGGGGCTAAACCCCTCCATTTTGGGGCCCCCAACCCCCCCAGTTTTTGGGTTAAAAACCCCCAATTTTTGTCCTCCTCCCCCCAGGTGAGCCCGGATAGACCAGACCTGACGGCGACCCTGGATGGCTCCGTCCTGGAAGGGGCGTGGCGCTCGGGGGAGGGGCGGCCACGCCCCTCCCATACCTGGGTATCCTTTTCCAAAGGGGTGGGCGTGGCTTGAGGGGGTGGGCGTGGCTTGAGGGGGTGGGCGTGGCTTGGATGGGCGTGGCCACCTTAACCGCGATTAAAGATCCTCGACCTGCCCCGCCCTGCTGAGGCCACGGCGCCCACCCAGCGGCCACGCCTGCAAGTGGGCGTGACCTGGGCCCCTGACTCCACCCACTGTGAGGTCACGCTGCTCCCAGGTGAGAGCCACGCCCCTCCCAGTGCCCTCCCAGTTCATCCCAGTTCATCCCAGTAACCCACCCCCCCTAACTCTTTCCATCCCAGACCAGGACGAGGCCTGGTGGCAGGAGCCAATCGTGGCCCGGGAGCTGTTTTGGTAAGCCACGCCCACCCCGGGAGAAAACCACGCCCATTTCTGACCAAACCCCACCTCCTTCCTGATTAAACCATGCCCCCTCCTGATTAAACCACGCCCCTTCCTGATTTAACCATGCCCCTTCCTGATTAAACCACGCCCCTTCCTGATTAAACCACGCCCCTTCCTGATTTAACCATGCCCCTTCCTGACTAAGCCACACCCCTTTCTGTCTATACTACTTCCCTTCCTGATTAAACCACGCCCCTTTCTGAATAAGCCACGCCCTTCCTGAACAAACCACACCCCTTCATTACGAAGCCCTTCCCCTTTCTGACTAAGCCACGCCCCTTCTGACTAAGCCACACCCCTTTCTGATTAAACCACGCCTATTTCTGACCAAACCCCACCCCTTTCTGATTAAACCACGCCCCCTTCCTAAATAAACCCCACCCCTTTATTTCTAAACAACTCCCCTTCCTGACTAAACCCCGCCCCTTTCTGAACAATCCACGCCCCTTCCTGAACAAACCAATCCCCCTTCTGATTAAACCACGCCCCTTCCTGAATAAACCACACCCCCTTATTATTAATCCCCTCTCTTTTCTGACCACACCACACCCCTTCCTGATTTAACCACACCCTTTCTGACTAAGCCACACCCCCTTTCAGAAACCACACCCCTTTCTGACCAAACCCCACCCCTTTCTGACCAAACCCCACCCCTTTCTGAACAATCCACGCCCCTTTGTGACCAAACCACGCCCCTTCCTGATTAAACCACACCCCTTTCTGATTGAACCGTGCCCCTTCCTGATTAAACCACGCCCTTTTTTGAATGAACCACACCCCTTTCTGAATAAACCACACCCCCTTCTGATTTAACCACGCCTTTTCCTGATTTTACCACGCTTCTTCCTGGTTAAACCACACCCCCTTCCTGATTAAACCACGCCCCTTTATTACCAGACCACTCCCCTTTCTGGCTAAACCACGCCCCTTTCTGATTTAACCCCACCCTTTCTGACCAAACCACGCCCCTTTCTGACCAAACCACGCCCCTTTTCCACCAAACCACACATTTTTCTGAACAAACCACGCCCCTTTCTGAACAAACCACGCCCCTTTTCCACCAAACCCCACCTCT